GGGTTCTGCATGTTTCTCAGAACTGAAGTCATGGGAATGAACCGCCGGAGCTTCAACGTCGTCGGAAAGAGGGATATTCCGGCCAAAAAGCTTAATAGCAGGATCCTTACAATCCAACATAATTTTGTGTGCTGGAAGAAGAAGAAGAAGAAGAAGAAGAAGAAGAAGAAGAAGTTGAAGAAGGAAGGAAGGGGATTTTTGGGAGTGTTTAGGGGAAGGAAGTTGGACGATGAATCCGTTAAAAGAAGGGGTGGGGGTGCCTCGTCAGCGAGTGAATTTGATTGTGAGCCACAAGTTTATGTGGACACAAAGATTTTCTTCCATTTCTGATTCTGGGTTGTACCAAAAGTTGGTGCACCCGATGCGATGCCCCTACTGCTCACTTTCACAAGTTTGGCTGCCGCCTTCCACGTGGATCATTTTATTTGGTTGTTTTTCATGTTTCATGTCTTTTGCTTTTGCTTTTACTTTTTTTTTTCTCTTTCATTTTTGGTGCTTCCTAAATATGTCGCACCTTCCAAAGGAAGAAAAAAAAAACATTATTTTGTTCAATTGTAACATATATGTTCATATTCTCTATGGCCAACATCTTACTTCAAAATAAATAAAAATAAAATTTATTATTATTTGAAGAATTAGGAAATTTATTAAAGAAAACAGTTGGCTGCTGCGCTGGCACATGTTCCATCAACATTTTGACACTTGTCCCTTAGGTATGTTATTATATTCCCAAAATCTTTTAAATTCTCAATAAATCATTTTCTCTCCTTCCCTTTTTCCTCTAAAAAATAAGTTTACACCCAATAAAATACATATTTGTCTTAATTTATATATTTTTAATATTTTAAATTTTCTCTCATCCTTTAAATAAAGGTGAAAAAATAAAATGGTTGAACTTTTAAATTTCATCTCATCTAGACTTAATGTGAAATCCCACATTTAATTAAAGGGTGAAACGAAGAAATTACTTAAAAGGTATAAAAAAAATTTCCTAATAGACACGTCGTAAAATTATGAAAGGATATGCAATGGACTAAAGTAGATAATATTTGTTAGCAGTGGATCTAAACTGTTACAAATCGTATCAAAGTTAGATAACAAACGGTGTGCCTAAATCCATAGATGAATTATAAGATCCCACATGGTTTTGAGAAACCTCTCCCGAGACCCCACTACCCAACTGGTAAAATGGTGCACACCATGAGTCACTTTCCCACAGTGTCTTCCAACTTTTCCCAGCATATTGAGTTTTAAAACATCATTTCCCTTTCCCTCCCACTTCCCTAAGTTTTCATCTTTCATCTTTCATAGAGATTTGAGAATCCCTAGGCTTATCACTTTCTATTGGACTTGGCGTAACCATCTTATAAACACAGCTCATTTTTGCAATCAATTTTAAATATACAACTACAAATTGCCCTCTTCCTAAAGCACCCCCCATCACACACACGTTTTCTTTGAAGCAGAGCAGCACTCTGAGCAGAGCAGCAATGGCAGCACCTACTCATTTCCTTCGTTTACTTGTCATATTCTTGGGACTTCACTACAGCCTTCTCTCTTCCAATGCTGTCCCATCTTCGAGTAACCCTCTCAAACCACTCTCCTTCCTCTTCTTTTTCTTTCTTCTTCTTACAAAATGAACTACAAAATGCTTCTGATCTCATTCTGTAGGAAGTGTCCGCCTCATGCATGCATCCATTCAACATCTTCAAGTTTCAAGCAACACCCACATGGTATATTACATTACCCCCATCAACATTTTACTTTTTCTCACCTATTCTGTGTTGGATCCTTTCTTCTCTCTTTACTACCGATTGACTTCTTCCTAACTTATCTGTTTATGCTCTTGGGATTTAAACATGGAAGGTTTCTGTTCGTTCAGGTGATTGCAAACCAAGATAAAGTGAGGCATGGAAGAATGAGTTTGGAACTAAATGACTATCCAGGATCCGGAGCCAACAATCGTCACACACCAGGGCCACAGTTTCGAGGCTGCGCTGATTGTTGATTATTGGTTGGGTTTTATTATATGATAGGAAAGCTTACAAAGATCTACAAGTTGGGTTTAGAACCTTAGTTGTTTATTAGGCAATATGGATTGTTTAGTTTATGGGTCTCTCTCTGCCTGAAACATCTCAAAACATTTTCCTTGTGTAACTTTGAGGCTTTGTAGTGAGTGGAGAAGGTGGATGCACTGGTTGAGTGCAACATACCCAATATCCACCACAATCAATTTAATTGGCTGCGAATTTCAATACCAAAGCAGCACTAAAGTGGAGTACCTTAATATTAAGTTATTGGCCATTACAGTCATTGCTTAATTGATTTTAAGTTGCACGTGGCAGCATTTCACGCTGTGAATACAACACTTCAGCTCTGATATTTCATTGAAATCAGATTGTTCATCTGTATAACAACCCTACAGACATAAGTCAGTGCCTGAAAAAGATGTAATCTTCTAGTGCTTGAAGCGGTTTGGTGACCGATCAATGGTAAATTCAGCAGCAGAAGGTACTATGAACTTACACTGTAGATCAGAACACCACTAAGTGGTAGTTTCCCTCAAGAGGGCCAAATCTTTCATGTTAAGAAAACTGATGGCTTTGACTATTCTTCACGGTAAAGGAGATTTGATGGGTTTGTGTTTGGTAGAACGGCATATCCACCAGAAACCATTGCATTTCCAGCAAACGGTGCATGCTGAATTTCAAATTCTGCTTGTGATAAATGCATTGACAACTGATCAGGCTCCCTTTGGACAGCTTCAATAGGCTCAAGTATAATGGCTCTTGATGAACAGTTATTAGAAAACTTATTTCAGTTAGCTATCTTATTTGATAACTTACCGATTATTGACCAAATAAACTCAAGAGAGTCAATCATATAGCAGGAATTATATGCAACTCACAATCGCCTTTGGAAGTAGATTATTGCAGTTCAACTCTATCAATCAACTCTGCCGTTGAACTGCACACAAATCGAGATCTTGTAATATCAAGTAATGAGATCTTGTAATATCAAGATTCCTCCAAGAACCAAACTAGAGTTTTGCAATATCTGCATGAATGGTAACTCAAATCACCATTTAAACCTGGTGGAGATAACTATAACATACCTCTAATGAACTGGTTTACAGTGATCGATATGGACTCACGACAAGCATCTCTTTCAATGGCTATAACTATTATGTTGGCTGATTCATTAGACTTGCTTATCTTCCTTAAAATGAGAATCCAAAACCATCTTTGCTCCAACTTTCTCACTTTCAAGAGACTCTATAGAAAATCACTTCAAATCACTTCAACGGATTGGAGGAGGAATAAGACCTTCCACCGAAATTGTAACCGCCAAAGTCCAAGTCCACCACTAAAAGATATTGTCTTCTTTGGGCTTACTCTTTATCCTCTTTGAATTTTCTCTTTTGAGCTTTCGCTCAAAGTTTTCAAAACGTACCTCCTTGTAATGAATGTGGTTTTTCCTTTCAAGCTTCTCCGGAAAGTTTTTAAAGTGTGTTTGCTAGGGAGAGGTTTCCACACCCTTTCTCACAATCCACTTCCCTTGGGGCCCAACGTCCTTGTTGGCACACCGCCCGGTGTCTAGCTCTAATACCATTTGTAACAGTTCAAGCCCACCACTAACCGATATTGTCCTCTTTGGACTATTTTTTTTTTGGACTTCATCTCAAGATTTTTAAAAAATGTTAGGGAGAGGTTTTCACATTTTTATAAGAAATGTTTCGTTCCCGTTCTAACCAAGGTGAGATCTCGCGGTAAGCTCATGTCCATGTAAAAAAAAGAAACTTGTGGTCTAATTAGATGCAGCTGGTACTTAAGAAATCCAAAGGGCAGGTATTAATTAATGATTGGCTTCCATCATTGGATAAGTGAAATAAGAAATTGATGGAAGTAGGTAGACAATAATTGGAGAGGAAATGTGAATGCAAAAGTAAAAAAGCGAGATGCTACTGAAACACAAAAAGATGAGCAATTCAGCAAACGCAAGATCCCACCTGAACCGAACAACTAATGAACCCCACAAACAAACTAAACCATCAGTGCCAAATTTCTAACAATCAAACCATGAAACCATGAAATGAAACCCCAGTTACTAAAGTTCATTAAGACTTCCAAAAACCACTTTAACTCCATTCATCACAGCATGCATCTCTTTCTTCCTAGTAGTATAAAAAAATTGATCAAACATTTACCGACTGCTTTGCTGACTCCTGGAATTAATTTTGTTTGCGACATTGTTAAGTTGGTGGCATCGGAAGCTGTGTCATCGTCTTCATCTTCCTCGTAAATTGAGATTTTTGTTGGTGAAAATGGAAGAGGCGGGGGGAAATTTAGAACGCTCCATTCATCGTTTGCCCCCCAAAAAGAAGAAGTATTAAAATTAGGGCATCATAATTAAAATTAGGGCATCATAATTAAAATTAGGGCATCATAATTAAAATTAGGGCACAAGACCTGCCGCACTACTCTACTAATGTAATGTCAAAGTCAATATATTAATCAAATGGGCGCTGCCCAATTTTTTAATATACCAAACCTAATCCATTTCCCCAATTACATAATTTGAATACTTCCTTTTCCAATTTCTCCCGTGAACTTAGATGAACAGAGACTCTTTGGGACGTGGCCTTTTCTGATTGGCTGATAACCTAAGACCAAATAATTTCATTTATTTTTCTCAAAGTTGGGTAGGAATGCGAAATTAAAATATTTAAAATGATAATAGGAATTTAAATATTTTAAAATTTAAAAAATACAAATTTAGAAGTTGGGCTTGGGGAGGTGGGCCCAGGGGGTATCTGGAAAATGTGTACCAAAAACGTTGATTCTTTGCCGTCCGTCACAATGCACTGAGACACTCCCTTTCACCGAACTGATTCAACGTCAACGAGGCGTTAACTTTAGACGAACGTTACCGAGGCAAGGCTCGGGGTTTCCGAAGCTCTTGAACTTGAAAAAAAGAAAGAAAGAAAGAAAGAAAGAAAGAGCGGACCGAGTCCAATACAGACAAACGCAAAAGATCCCCTTCCTTCATAAGCCTACAAACAATCGGATTGTGTCACCGATACACAGTTTCTGAGGGAGGGAGCTAAGACTTCCCTTTTGCAACCTCCGTGAGACTCTGAACCAAATTTTGAAGGTTTTTTTTCCACCACTTTCATCTTCTTATTCAACTTCCATTGTTTTCTTTTTGCTTGTTCATGGGTTTGCAATTTAGTTTTCTGCTTTTCGTCTGATCATTGGGTTTTAGGGCTTTCTGTGGATTCATTTCTTGGGGGGTATGTTTTCTTGGTTCTTGTAAGCTTAGCAAATGGTTGAAATTTGTTGTTGAGTTGAAAATTGAAAGTTTGAACTCTGGGTTCTTTTTTTTCTATCTTGTATGATGTTTCTTAAAACTTGTAAGGTGGAGTGAGCGAAGTTGAGGGATTCTTTTCTACTTGTTGTGCCCACATTTTAGCTGCGATGGTTTTGCAGCAGAAAGATGCTGATTTGTAGTTAGATTGTTTTGGAAGAAAGGATTTCTACCTTTTGTTTTTTTATTTTTTTTTGTAAGGAATATACTGTCTTGAAAGATATAGTTTCAAAAGTTGTTGATCAGAAAAATGAAATCTTTTGTTTGCGGGAGGAGTTGATTTTTAGAGTGCGACTCGGCCTTTTATGATGCAATTACTCGGAGTTTAAAGTTTTCTTGCGGTTTCTTCTTTTTGTAGCTGAGGGCTTCGAGAATTGAGGGAAATCGAGCACAAGAGAGACGTTTGAAGGTATGTAATTATTTTTTTCTTTAAGAATCCAACTGCAATCTATTTTTATAGACAAGTTACTGAAAGTTACACTGGTTTATTTGCTTTCGTTCATTGCCTCTGCAATTACAGTATTCTTTGTTTTTAATGTGAGATGAGAAATCAGGGCAATATTTTATCATGTGTCGAAGTAATATCTTTGATGTTGCAGGAGCTTTTGTTTTTTACACAAGAATGGGTGATCACATGGTTTTGTGTGTGGACCGCCTCAATAAGCCTGAAAGCTTGCAGTCGCTTCCTGCAACTACTGCTCCAGGGTCTTCTTTAGAATCTTCATCTTCTCAAAATTCAGAGCCACCTGTTTGTGCTATTTCTGTTGAAGATGTGGATGAACATGATGGATCTGAAGAAGACCCCCTTATTCAGTCAGTTGAATGTCGAATATGTCAGGAAGAGGATAGTATTAAGAATTTGGAGATTCCTTGTGCTTGCAGTGGCAGCTTGAAGGTACCATTTACTAACTTCTATGGTAATGGTCCTTGTAGTTTAACGAAATGGTTCTCTGGTCATGAGACAAGTTTATCAGAAAATCATCATATTTTGCTAATGTCGCATATTTCAGTGCCTTGTAGAGTTATGGTTATACTCATTATAAAGTTGTGAATCCCTAGGTGGTTGCTTTGCTCACTTGACTTAAAGGGGCACAAAGAGCCGATCGTGATTGTCTTTACTGCTTCTGAGCGTTATTTTCATTTTACAAAATGTGAAGAGACTTTTAACTGACTTGAATTATGTGGGAAGAGAGCATGATAAAAAGAGTCCATCTTCAATACTTAATTTTCATCTGTATTTGGTTTTATTCAGGCTAATGGGATAATGTAATGCCATGGCAATGAATAACGTGTTCTTTCTGTTGGGGGTAGTGATGGAAAGAAACCTGTTTTTCAGGTTGTGGTAGTTCTCTTGACAGAGGACAGACACACCACATTTCAAGCCACACCTTTGAGTTGTCGTATGTTTCATCTGTTGTTTGATCAAACCCTGTGCCATGATGCCTTGAGAAGTCTGATTCTATCATCATTATTACTGATAAAATATTCTGTTTTATATGCCTCTGATTCTATTCATTTCCCTATTCCAGTATGCTCACAGGAAATGTGTCCAGCGATGGTGCAATGAGAAGGGAGATATAAATTGTGAAATTTGTCATCAGGTAAACTATATCACCACCATTAGAAAATCTGGAATATTTGTTTTATCTAGTGTCTAAGGGGATTCTTCTAGCTGATTATCGATCAACTAGTCAAGTAGAAAAAACCATCTTTCTGTTTGGAATCTACAAGGCTTTACCTTTATATTTGGCCAATCTTTGGTATTATCAAGTAGATGTGTCAGGCTCATGAAAAATGATGCTGATGGTGGTTGGGTTGATCGTTGATGTGTGTTCATACATTATGAAATATTATTATAATGTTGTAACTTCTGGCATTTTTGCACAATAAAAGCTTGTGGAGGGAAATATAAATGATGGCTAAAGATTAACTTTGTGGATGTCAAACTCTCCCCTTCGTTTACCGAGGGAAGTATGTTCGGTAGTTAGAGATGTTAATACTAAATCATATCCTGATTCTCAAGTTTAACTACAAGTACTGGGAGTTATTTTCATCGATGGGAAGTTCAAATCAACATGTTGATATTTTAATTTTTTTTTTTTCAGAATTATCAGCCTGGTTATACCTTGCCTGTACCACCCCCTCGCTCGGAAGATACTACCATTGATATGAGGTAAGTTTTGGTTCACCTAGTTCAATGATGTTTACTTTGGTTCGTGAATTTCTGCTAATACGTAGTTTCTGAATGGCCTATTATTGTTCATTCTAACATTCGCTGCTTGAATTCTTCATATCTCGTTTACTTCTACTAGTGCAGACGTTGTTAGATCTAATCTTTGATTTTGTGTTCATCAAAATGTGTTTGCAGTGAAGGTTGGCCAGTCTCTGAAAATGCTTTAGATTTGCATGATCCACGACTTTTGGCTATGGCAGCAGCAGAACGCCACTTTCTTGAGGCAGAATACGATGAATATGCAGATGCCAGTGCAAATGGAACGGCGTTTTGCCGATCTGCTGCTCTGATTGTGAGACTCTTAACTTTTACCCTTGAATTAATTTCCCTTGTTAGATACTGATTTTTGTTAAACCAAAGTTGGTTGGAGTCATTCAACATCAAGGAGTTCTGTAGTTTTATACCACTTCTTAATCTATCTCTCCAAATGTTTCTCTGTTAAGATTATAATAAAACGTCTATTTTTCACACTATTATGTTGATTATTACTGTTGCTTCTCTACAGTTATTGGCTCTTTTACTGTTGAGGCACGCTCTGTACCTTACAAATGGTGATGGAGAAGATGATGCTTACACTTTTTTCTCGGTAAGTGAGACATCAAATTTTTTTTCTCCCCTTCAATTCTATTATATTTGTGTACTGATTATTGTTAACTTTTATGTACATTGACAGCTTTTATTGCTACGAGCTGTCGGGTTTCTTCTTCCCTGCTACATTATGGCATGGGCTATCAGCATACTACAGCGTCGAAGACAAAGACAGGTGTGTGCTAAAGAGCTGGTTTATTATGCTTCACATTTGCAAAACTTTAGTAATCTTCTGGTTTTTGTGCTTCAAAATGTTCCTTAAAACCTGAAGTTATTGTTGTTTATTCTTTTACTTTTTCTTGCAGGAAGCTGCAGCGCTTGCAGCAACTGAAGTTGCATTTATGCTGCAGGCAGCACAAGGTCAGAGCCTCCAGTTTACCATTGCTCCAGGGCCTGTAGTGACGCCTCATCAAGAGCCACTCCAATAACGATGTTTCTTTATGGAGTGCTGACAGGCATTATAAATATTAACTTCAACCTAAATTTATTCTACTGTATTCCACCCTTTTTCCCCTTCTTTCTTTCTCTTTAAAAAATTATCAGTAAACTGTAATTTTCCATCTTCCCCTTGGCATCCTCTGCAAGTTTTTTTTTCCTTCGTACTGCTTTAAATCTACATCTCTTGCGTTCTGGTTATCACGGAATCCGTGATGGTTAATTCAGAGCCTCCAGGTTCTTCCTGTTAAGTATTAATATATCATTACTAGTGCATGATCTACTTGTTTAAGTTGGCAAGATATTGGATTGCAAGATATTAGATTTCAACACACAACTGTCTCATGGCCCTCTAAATATATAATATAATACGGAAGAAGAAATGCAGGCTTTTCTTAGTTAATGTTACAAAATGTGTCTCAGAACGCACTTTAGCTAACTTGCATGATCTTTAATGAAAGGAACTTATTCTTAGGCAGTCTTAAACAAAAAAAAGTAGGCTGTGGAAGCTGAAGGCATACGTAAGCTAAGTTGATGGATGATTGGGAGAGGAGGGAGGGTGATTCAAAGATGGTCACTCTTCATAGGTTTTAAAGGGAGAAAATAAAGGAGTTGGGCAAGCAAAAGAGCCCCCAGATAAAAGTATAAAAAGAGCTCCACTGAAAGAAGGATTCTGAAGACCAAGTTTTGTTGCAGCAGGGACCAATAGAGAAAAAGCTTGCTCTTCTTTTTCCTTTCTAGTAGAAGCTCTCTGTTCCCCTCTCTGGTCTTTTATTTGCTTCATGGCTCTGTCTCTCCCCTTCTCTCTCTCTTGCAGGCCAAAAAGAGATATTTTACATTGGAGATTTCTTTTTTTATTCTCACATGATTATGATAATGTTTACTACATAGACTAAACCGTAAAAGCACTTATCATGTGTTATTTATGGTCGGGTGACATGGAACGACAGCTAACTGAGGCCAGTCTTGGTCTGGTAAAAAAGGGCAATCCCAAGATTGGAACAGGATGTAAGGAACTAATGAAATGGACAGCACAAGGAAAAATATCCGTAGTCCCTGCCTTCTCAAGGATATTGTTCCATTCAACCTTTTCTTTTCTTTTCCCCTTTTAAATTCAAACCTGTCAAAGTCCTCTTAAAACACCTTCCTATTGCTTCTTTTGCAGGCTTATCATAAGATGAATCTTAAGATTTCCCTACAAGCTATGGACCCCAATTATGTCTTTTGCTTTTCGCCCGTCCTTTTCCTTTAAAGATGAAGCTCTGGCTTCTTCATACAACAATGAGCCATCCTAACCTTTGTCTCTGCATATATCACACACACATCCTTCTCCTCCCCATCCCCTCCTCACTGAACAACACAGATACTTCCACCCTTCTTCTAGTTTCGAGTATAAATGGGGTTTTTGGTTCATAGGGTGCCCATGCTACTACTCTGTGTTTGGTTTTTGGTTCTTCAACCAGAAGGAACCAGTGGGCTGAGCAACATCGATCTAGCACTCAGATGGGATAAGCTACGTATTCCCATTTTCAATAGCTTCAAGTTTGTGAAGGAGGCATCCGTTGAGGACGATTGGGGGAGAACACTGGCTTTTGCACCAGCACCTTCGACGGGTTTCGATCCAACCCGATTGAATAAAAGAAGGATTCGAAGGGGATCTGATCCCATTCACAACAAATGCTGAGATGAGAAGAAATGAAGAAGATACAAAGAAGTTCAGTTTCATGTTGATTTGTTTTCCAAGAAAAATTGAGTGGTGAAAAGATGAACTCCTAGACAGTTTATCAAAGATTGTTGGTAGCTTTCTTGTAGTGGAAGATTGCATCTGTTTGGGTGAGTAGCTTCAGTGCCGTACAAACTCGAGCTCTAACAAAACAAACAGCTTTATTTGGATGTAAAACAAAGTTCTTCTGTCATACAAATAGGTAGATGTTCTGTAGAAAACTTAATCCATGTCTTCTAAATACATTCTTTCCCAAGCTTTATTTTTTTAAGTTTTAAGTTCATCACTACAGTTCCCCAAGCAAGAGCTATATCTCTAACAACTCCTCTTTAATCCCTCGTAGTACTCATCTTTTCAGTTGATGATTTCATATTATCCAACAATTATCAGTTAAGTTTTCGTTTGAGACGTGTCCATGTTAAATCAAGTATGAAGTTATCAAGTTAGAAGTCTGATCCTAAAAAGTAAAAACTGGTCTAAACTTCAGTAACCACAATTCTAAAGGGATAAGCCAAGGCTGAACAAGTTTGAAGATGATAAGGTCCAAGGCTGCAATGAACTTTACAAGTTAAGTGAGCGAATATTGAGTACAGATCAACTCTAGACAGCCTATAATCTCAATACTACTATGTTTTCAGTTAAAAGATTCATGACCATAGCAATATGGAGAAAGGATGATAGATCTCAGTGACTACAAAACTTTATGTTTACTGAATTCATCATCAACTGTTCTTTAGGAGAAGTTCAGATCTTTGGTACCTGTTCTTCCTCTTCCAATTCCGGTTAGATTTTATCTTCGACACTTTACGTGACACTGCTTGCCAAATCATATCAACAGCATCACCACTTTGAGACGGATACTGATATTCAAATTCATGCACAATTTCCTTTATTCTATCCCACATCTTTGTCCACCTTTCTCGTCCGATTCCACGAAGAAGATTCAGTAGATAGCCTTTCCTTAAAGAGTCAGCTGCTCGAACAAAGACGCAAAACTCTGAGTAGTCCAAGACATCTTCATATGGCAGCTCAATATCGTCACTTATAATAACAGGAACACAATGACTTGCAATGGAATCGAAAAGTCGGTTTGATGATGGGGTGTCTCCTGCAATATTGAGGCAGAACTTGGATGAGGCCATTCCTTGGCCTGCCTCGTTGATTCCATTTCCCTTGACACTTCCAAAAGTAAAATGAACGCCTTCCTCATCTTTCAGAAGGTAATATAGTTCTTGGCGAATTACTCCCCCCTGAAGACGAATTCAAAAAGAAAATTAGAATAACTTTCATTAGCTTCAATGTTATCAGATAATTATAAGAACACATGGTGACTAAAAAGAACCTAAGAAAAAGATGATAAATGCGAGCAATGCAACACTAGAAACCAAACACAGCAGAGGAAATGCAATTTGGCTTTAAATAATCATGCGTGACAAAGGATAGTCTTTAGTTTATGCTAGCTAAGTTTATGCATGTCATTGGCTTTTCCACTGCATATAACAGGATTGACCATCGTGCAGATGAATCCATTAAGCATCAAATATTTAATTTTGACACTCCTCAAGATCAACGAGTCCATCTTAATGATATCATATTTCACGAATTTCCCATCAACCAACAAAGGGATTCAGGCAGTGATATGAAACACCAATGCAGAACATAATTTTGCCGAAAAATAAGATTAGGGAGAGGAAAACTTAGAGAAGCATAGCACACCAATAAGTTACTCGAGGTTACAGAAAGACTTACATCCTTCCTGTATATAGCTCCTTGAAAATACACCAAAATAGGACGCTCGTCAAATGTGGCAGATTTGGTACTAGGAACTGTCTTCACTACGTGTCTGTAAGGAGCAATAATATCTTTTTCAATATTTGCAATGGCAGCTGGGTACCTTCCAAAATCTGCTAGCACAAACATGGCCGAGCCCAGTTTCTCTCTCGCATCCAACATACTATTCGGGTGGTGAGCAACTATGAGATGATCCTTTCCACCCACTCGCCTCCACTCCTTCTGACCAAACAAGAAATGTATCAACTTATGCTGCAATATCTTGTTCACATTGATTTTCTCCTTCCCAAGTAATTTAGAATGTTTGTTGTAACTCAAGGATGAGAAAAATGGCACAAACACCACATCTGCTTGACTTGAATTCTTTACCCTAACCGCTGTGCAAGTATGACCAATATTTGGGACATTTGATGATAAAAGATCAAGTGTAAGCCAGTACTCCATACTGTGCTGTAAGTTCAGCCCACCTGGGTATGATGGGATTTGACTTTTATTACTGAGATTAGGCCAAACTTGATCTTTTTCTCCCTTCCACCCCAATAACCCAAAGTGAAGTAAAGGCGGAAGATCATACATGAATACTCTCAAACGAGCCTTCGCAGGATCACAGGCCAAGTCTGTCTGGTTAGAAACTGAATAATCCATATCCCTATCTCTAATGGCTACTTCGATTTCCACTGGGGGAGCTTCCACAGGTAGCGTAGGAAGCTCCATCGGTTCATTGTCCACATTGTGTTTTAGGTAACTTGAAGTATTGTTAACAACAATGAACTTGAGTACTGAACTGGGTAAGAATGAATTGCAGTTGGATTGTAGAATGAATACAGAAGAAAGAATTAGAAGGAACATAGACATGGTTATCAAGTATAAAAATATTCTAGTCGGAAGCATGCTTTTGTCCAACATTGCAGAAGACGAGTCCGTTAAATTAAGAGAATCAGAAAAAACACCAATCCGCCAATACGATGGTCAAACAAGTTAAAGATTCTTTAGAAATCCGAATACGGAAACCTTTTCAATGTTGTAAACAGAGGAAGTTCCATTCCAAACCAGAGGCAATAGAAGGTTAGAACAAAGACGGGATCCCACTTCGCATCTATCGAAGGAGTTCTCACGAACCCATTAAAACTAATCCAATACCCAATACTCAAGAATCCAAAGAGCAGGATTTGCTCATCTTGCATTCGATTTTGAAATGGGTATAAACCCAGAAGAAATGCTATGGAAAGCTTTGCATTTAGAAGTAGAGAAGGAGATGAATCGAAAGCTTACAAATCTTAGTGTTGAGCAGAGAGCAGGTTCGATTGAAGGTCATTCCTCATGAGAAGTCATCTGGGTTCGGAGGCATTAATGGGAAGAACAAAACTAGAGAATTTCTACGGCGAATGAATCCCACTTTATACACTTTGACCAAGTATTCTTCAATATTTACTACTGGTTTTCAACAAGAAAACAAAATCCCTCCTTCCTTACCCATTACAATTCTCGTTTCTATTAGTTCATTATTTTCATATCTTAAAAATGAATTTGAAAATTGTTATTTGCACATGCCCCGTGTGTGTGCGATGATTAGATTGGGCTTTTGGGCTCGACGTTGGGACGCGTGAAACAAGTAGTCCAACATTGACCACCTGGCCCGTTTCTTCCTTCTGGATATAGGCTACCTAATTCACCCACTTTTTATACTCATTTACTACAAAATTTATAACCTTGATT